CGTTGCTATGGGAGCGGGGCACGCGGGCTGCTGGGAGCGGGCCCGTAACCCCCCCCAGGCCCGCGAGCAGCGGGGGGGCCGCTCCGGTGAGAAGCGTAAGCCCCCGAGCACCGGGCGCTGCAACTCATGACGCTTCCCAGCTAAACCTGGAACGTAACAGTGGCTGAAAAACCCTTCAAATCCCCCTGAAACGTCCCCCTAAACTGAGCGGGTGGTGCGGGGAGGGCGCTAGCTACACGAAGCGTGCCCGGCGTTGCAGCAGCGACAAAGCCGGGTGGCAGGCACACCGCTGGCAGGGCGTTTTCCCAGGTTTTAGCACCGATGGCCTTTTGTGGTTAAAGGGATGTTAAAGGCAGGCTTGCTGTGGTCAAATGGAGAGCGAGCTCCAGGGAGGAAGGGTGCCTCTCTTGTCTCCAGTTGATTCAAAACGTAAAGCCCGAGAGGTAACATTTGCTTTTCCTGCAGGCAGGTTTGCCCAGCCCACATGTTCCCTGCCTGGAGCTGAAGATGCCAAGGAGCAACCACAGCCAACGCTGCTTTGGCTCTGCCAGGTCCCTGCCTCCTCAACTGCTTCGCCTGCCCTTCTCGCACAGCTAGGCTTCATTTTTTCATTTTAGCATTTTGCTTGAGACATTAGAATCATAGAATCGCTTTGGTTGGAAAAGACCTTTAAGATCATCGAGTCCAACCTTTAACCTAACCCTGCCATCCCACCACTAAACCGTGTCCCTAGGCACCTCATCTATCCTTCTTTTATGTATCTCCAGGGTTGGGGACTCGACCACCTCCCTGTGCAGCCCATTCCAGAGTCTCACAACCCTTCCTGTGAAGAAGTTTTTCCTAATGTCTAGCCTAAACCTGCCCTGGCGCAACTTCAAACCATTCCCCCTTGTCCTATTACCAAACTTCAAACCTATTACCCCCTTCCCATTACCAAAAGGAATATCCATTATTCAAGAGGAATAAACCTCCCATAAGCAAGAGCAAACTAAAAAACAAAAGCTTAAAGTGTAGACTGCACTAAGCCCTACAACAACCATGCAGGAAAATGCAAAAGCTTGTAAAATTGCTCCATTATCCTCCTTTGGGATATTAAAGTCATTTTCCTTGAGCTGTTTGGTCCAAAAAGGCCTTCCCATGTTAGACAACCCCTTGAAAAAGCTACTTATTCACTGTAAAAAGGTTCAGCCTTCTGTGAAAGATGACTTGAATCTGGTGTGCACATCATCAAGTGTCAGATGGTGCTTTTTCATTAAAGTATGTTCTTAATGAGGGCAGAAATACTTGCTATTTAAGCCAAAAGATTTATTTACCTTTTCAGGATGATAGAAAGAAAAGTGTGGGGTTTTACCTGACATGCTGTGAACCCAGAGGTCAACTTTCCAGCTGCTCTGTTATTAATTTGGTGGTAAACATTCAAGAAAGAATAAATAAGTTTTCAAAACACGCTGGTTTCGCTTGGTTGTAGTGCATCTGCTGCGCACTACTATTGGGTATAAAAAGCTTACTTTTCGCTCAATATGTGTCTTTGAACAGATCTGCCAAAAGAGAGCTATGTTATGAAATTATGGGGTCACATTATCGATTCCCCCAAACTAGTCTCGATTCCTTGCAATCAGAGCAGCTCTTTCGGTTTACTGTAGTTGCTCTTAAAAACGCAGTCTTGAACTGCAAATCTTCGTTGCAGAAGCACCCCTGCAATAAACCTGAAGGTTTCATTGCCGCTTGAGGGAGCTCAAATGTAATGCATGGCTATGCAGATCACCTTGTGTTTCACAGGGGGCATAATTTAAGGGAGGTAGTTTATATACACAGATAAAAGGGATAACTTTGGAGAGCAGAGTGCACGCAAAAAAGATGTAGTCTTTTTCCTGGCTAACTGGCCCAATTATTCCAGGAGACTGTTGTTATGCCACCCAGTACTTTCCTAGGTCTCTCCGATCCACAGAAAATGGGTTTTGTTCATGCACACACTCCAGTTTCCCTCCAGGACACAAATACGGCTCTTGCAAAACTAAACTACCCTCCCACCATCATTCTCAGAAAGAAAATGCTGAGAAACCTCAGGAGATGGCTGGATCCATCGTTGGTGAAGGGAGCCCCAGCTCACTCTGATTGTGAAGGACAGAGCCAGAGTCAAGAGAACTGTCTTCTCTATGACTCATTGCTGCTTCGCTGAGACCCTCCTGCTCCATTTCGAGCATGATCTTAACCACAGGAGTTCCAGAGACATGATACTGTGGGTCAAGGAAGATAACCCTCACCAACAAGAAATGAACTGCACAGCCTACTCCATAAAATGATAGGTACTGATTCCAGGCTGCTTTAGCCAGCAAAGTTAAACTTTAACAAATCTGCAGAGTGCCAGAATATTATCATCAAAAAGATATTGCCCTTTTCCCTGTAACTATTTTAAAATGTTTCTTCAGAAGGCACGGGTAAATACAGAGGATTGGTAGTTCAAGCCGAAAGAGAGGTAACCGACACACGCTCAGAGGTGCTATTTTAATGCTTTATCATTGTCTTGAGCAGCAGTACTTGGATTTTGTTCTTTAAACTGCAATATTTTCATAGCAATTTCAAATCAATCCAATGTGTAACTCGTACAGGCAGTGGCACGATGCCAGCACTTTGACAAAAGGATCCCACAGAAAATGTCTCGTGTAACTTTTGATCAATTGTATCAGTGATAACATTTAAAGGAAGATCTGGTAAAACAGATTTTATCTCCTACGTCTCAAAAAGACTTTCTAGCCCCATAATCAAAGTAATAGACAAAACCACATAGCAAGTAAACATATTAAACTGCAATTTGTGATTTAGAATGATAATATTATGGCCAGATTCAGCTGTGTATGCCAATGGGAAGAATGGAAGCGAACAGCTTTCAGAGGCTCTGGGGACATCCTCACCACATTTAGTTGACTTCAGTTAATCAATTAAGTAGCACAAACAATCCTGCAATCTTCCAAGCTGACTTGTGGATTGGGATTTCATCCTGGGTACTTTTGTTCCAGTGTTTTGTACACTAAAGACCAAAAAAAATACGCTCTGCAAAAGTATTTTTGAGAGCTTCTGACAACCGTGGCAGATTGTCTCTGCCAAGTACGATGACAAAGGATTCCTGGAAAAATAAATACTTAGCAAAGAATATCATCTTGACTCTCTGCAAACTTAGGCATAGGATTTTAAGCACTGTTTCCCATCTTCTTGTCCCATTTTAGTGCATGTAAATCCCTGTAGCGTTGCGGTCCAAGTCTTCCTCACTGCAAGATCACAGAATCACAGAATCGCAAGGGTTGGAAGGGACCTCGGGAGATCATCTAGTCCAACCCCCCTGCTAAAGCAGGCTCTCCTAGAGTATTCTACACAGGACTTCATCCAGGCGGGCTTTGAATATCTCCAGAGAAGGAGACTCCACAACCTCCCTGGGCAGCCTGTTCCAGTGCTCTGTCACCCTCAGAGTAAAGAAGTTTTTCCTCATATTCAACTGAAACCTCTTATGTTTCAGTTTGTACCCATTGCCCCTAGTCCTGTCACTGGACACCACTGCAAACAGACTGCTTCCATCCTCGTGACTTCCACCCTTAAGATATTTGTACGTGTTGATAAGGTCCCCTCTCAGTCTTCTCTTCTTCAGGCTGAACAAGCCCAATTCTCTCAGCCTTTCCTTGTAGGGGAGGTGCTCCAGTCCCTTTATCATCCTAGTTGCCCTCCTCTGGACTCTTTCTAGGAGTTCCTCATCTTTCTTGAACTGGGGAGCCCAGAACTGGACACAGTACTCCAGGTGGGATCTCACCAGAGCAGAGTAGAGGGGGAGGATAACCTCCCTCG